TTTTTGGCTCCTCTTTTTCTTAATACCTCGACTATGATTATTAATGTTAATATTATTGTTTCGACGAACCTCCTCTGCCCCTCGGCACCAGGCCAGGACTCAAGGCGTTTAATAGCGCACCATCCAGGTATAGAACCAACCTCTTAATCATCCCGAATTGGTGTTACTTTGCTACCGAACACAGCCCTGTGCGACATACAATTCAATGAGTGCATGAGTCAAGGCTCGAAGGGGGGAGGGAATAACCCCAAAGAAGTATAGTCCAGCGAGCTGGGAGATAGATAAATACAACGTCGTAGAGTGACCGAGCTTTAAATTCCCGCGCAGACCGCTTTTCCAAGAAACAAAAGAAAAAATGATGCTGACAGTTAATTATAGACAAGGTGTCTCCGTTAAGTATCATACAAATGGAAGTATATGTAGGTACTATACTCCGAGGAAAAAAGTCCCAGCGTGCATTATCAATTTTGACAAATAAGAGCCGTGATTGGTGGTGTCAGCGATAAATCTCTGCAATTTTTCTCCTTCCCCCTCCCAATTTCCTTTTTTTTCCTATTGTTATTACTATTGTTCATTATTATTGTTATTATTATTATTATTATTATTATTCAATTGATTTACTTGAATTTTCCTGGCGAGATTTTCTACGAGTTTGGGTTGGTAGTATCCATGGATCTGTCCGGCGGAATCGGCAGAAGTAACATGGAAACTTGGAACCTAAAAAGTTCTAGGGAACTGGTAGTAAGTAGGCTTTCTTACGCGACCATTGAATAGGTGGTATGTACTAGTATATACTCCCATATAAAGTCAAGTGCCGAGTGCAACCCGCGAGAATGGAAAGGGAGAAAGAGACATTTCCATAAATGGATGGAAATCCAGATGCAGAGCTAAGACTTGACCATTACTTCTGCAAATGGACAGGAATCTGTCGGATACGTATCATGTAAGACAAGAAAGGTTGGGTATGGAAATACGACTACCCCTCTTGCGCCGTGACCCGTCAGTACCGGTAATAATATACTCGGTCGAATCAGAGAACTGGAAAAAATAATGAGTAGGACAGAAAGGGGGATGCATAATGCGCCCGTGAGCAGAACAACCCCGGACCCTGCACCTGCAGGCGCATGATTAGTCGCAGAGATATACACTGACACTCGGGCCTACGACGATTAATAAATCCCATCAGTCTTCATGGCGGTACTTCACTGCCGATTCGTCGTTGACGGGGTTTCATATACTTCAGCTGGGGAGCCGGCCATGGTTACGACCAGGTTGCAACCCTTTCCTTCTTTTCTTCATCTCTGTGGGGAAGAATGGAATTACCTGGACCACGCCCGTTTCAGACAAACACAAGTTACAACCAACCAACAGGGTCGTAATACTCGATCCCGGGAAGTGCCTCTGGAAAGTATGTACACAAGCTGTATAAGGGTGGGTCACCTTCACCCAGCTAAGGTAACAGCAGCAATATATCGGTCAATGCTCCAGCTACGCAATCAGGTGACATCATATGTTCTAATTGATCCCAAAGGGGAATCTCCCCCAGAGTGAGTCCTCAAGCTCCATCGTATGTGTAATAATTTTCTTTTTGCTTGCACGCGATGACCGCGTAAACCAGAGGACAGTGCTACACTCGGATCCATGGAAGCAAAAGCACCGGACGGAGCTTTCTCAACTCTGTCAATCGTTCTAATTTTGTTGCTACTAACTTTTTTTAGTAGTCCTAGGCCATAAGTTCTAGACCAACCGTCGGGAGAAAAGCATGTAAGTGGTCGCTTTCAACGAGAACGGAGAAAATAAAAAAGCACAAAATGGTAAAAGGAGAAAATCGTTCGTACTGCGAACCCCAAAACCCTATTCCAGATTCTCAGCGTCAATTTTCTGCCTCTCCTCGTCCCCTTAAACAGGATTGCCCAAAAACGACCGTGCATCACCACGAGTAGCAGTGTCGAACATACTATCTCATGATTCAGTCATCTATCCCAAACGAGTGATCGTGCAAATCCAGGCGGTAGTCGGCAGAGCGCTGCCCGTGCGCGAACCATCCTTCCCCCCAATCAAACGTTCTATGGCATCTCGCCGAAAGCTGTCCCAAGGGCTGGGCCTTTTGGACATGTATACTTAGCGAAACACTTCTAACACAACCCGTTTATCTCTCGTGACGATTCGCCACCAAGTTCTCCGCTCTTACGCGGTCTAAAGAACCTTGATTGATTAAAGCTGTTTACCGCTTAACAATGGTCACTGTAGTCGCCAAGTTAGCAGGAAAGCTCCTTATAATGTTCAGGGGCCAGGGTTTACGGACCAATATCCTCATCTGCAAGCTCGTGCGTAAGACCCACACGCTGCGGTTGGTGCTTAACGGAGCGGCCATAGACAATAGCCTGTTTGAACTGGTCCTTAATCGTCCGGTGAATCGAGTTACACTGATCACGAGTCAGTAAGCCGCCTTGTGACAGGATGTGATAGGAAAGAGGGAACATACGAAATCTTCAACAGTGCATGCGTTGGCTCTCAGCACAACAGGTGCAGTGTAGTCGGGTGCCTTGCCCTTAGGCTTAGTGTAGACTCGCCTGAGGTTGAGCTTATCCCACATCATCTCCAGCAGTTCATCAACGTTCCAGCCGTGCTCGGAACTAATGGGGCAGGCGTTGGGAATCCGGTAAAGCAGGTCCAGCTCTTCGATTGTGATAGAATCAATCTTGTTCAACGCATATACGACAGGGATGTAAGCCCGACTCTTTGCCTCGAGAACATCGATAATGTCGTCAACTGTGGCATCGCATCTGATTGAAATATCTGCAGAAGAGATCCTGTACTCGCCCAAGACAGCTTTAATTTCCTGGAAACCGCATCAAAAAGTGTATGTCAGCTATGGTGTATTTCAACCCTTGGACATGACGGGCACTCACGTCATGATCAATATGCGTCAATGGGACTGTGCTAGTAATCGCAATACCACCCTTATCCTTTTTCTTGAAGACGATGTTAGGGGGTTGCTTGTTGATTCTGATTCCGAAACCTTCCAATTCATTCTCAATGACCTTTTTATCGACAAGTGGCTTGTTGACGTCGAGCACAATGAAAATGAGGTGACAAGTCTTCGCCACAGCAATAACCTGTCGACCACGACCCTTGCCGTCTTTGGCACCCTGGATAATACCGGGAAGATCGAGAATCTGAATCTTAGCACCGTTGTATAGCACCTGTCCAGGCACGGTTGTCAGGGTTGTGAACTCGTAGGCCGCAGCTGTAACAAAGGTAAAGGAAATCATCAGCACCTATCAAGACTGTGCCAGAATACACCCAAACATACCTTCAGAGTGTTGGCCTGTCAATCTACTCATCAAGGTACTCTTTCCGACGGAAGGGAAACCAATGAAGCCACTAGTCCGAGTCAGTATCAACGTCGTCCTAGCAAAAGTCTTCTCCAATACATACACACTAGCGACACCGGTACGAGCAACATCGAAACCAGCTATATTCCACCAAGTTAACGAACTGGCTCATGTCAATAGGGTACGCTATCCATAAGCACTTACCTCCACCTCCACCGCCACCACCACCGGTTGGAGTCAAAAGTTCACGCTTTAGCTTCGCAAGCTTAGCCTTCAACTGTCCTACACAGCCCGTCAGTCACACTAGCCCGACACCACCTAGCACCTGCATCTGCGCATACCAATATGAAAGGCCGTCGCCTTATTCTTCTGCGTCCGTGCCATCTGAAATATCGGTCAGTCCGCCATGCTGGCGGGCAAGTATCGCAATATAAATTTCAACACGAACCTCATCTTCGATTTGCTTGATCTACAGTACGCATGGCAGTCAGCATAATAATTCTGTATTTATCGGAAGAACAGTGCTAATAAGTTTTTTTTTCTTTTAAGAAAAAAAAAGACACTATGGGCGGGATCCAACCTTCTCAACTGTGGTCGACATTTTGGCGGTTTTATACGAGTTTTACCCCTCGCACAAGGCACAATATATTCAGATACAATAAGAAATAAGTGACAAAGTTCCGTGCTCCTATACACGTTCTAGCTTCTATCTCACACCGGCCGCGCTGTGGTGAAGCCCCAAGATGATCGTATCTCGTTTTGCACTGGTGTTTCGCAGAATCTCAATCTTTGAAATTGTGGCCGCCACTTCATTCGCCCGTTAGTCGGGCGGAGAAGAACGAGAGCGATCACTGATCACATGGCGGGGATTGTGGCCTCAGGTGTAAATGAGGCAGCAACGCTTAGCCTCGGGTGGCAAGCGCGTTATCGGACATATTCCTTCCATAGCTTTGGATATACAATTGTCTATCATTGTTAAGCTATACCTGGACATTGAAATATACTTATCTCTACCGACTCTTAACATTGGCTATACTAGTATACATCATTGATTGCTATCACTACTAGAAGCCCCCTTGACTACCAATCATCAAAACACCCATTCTACCCAAATTATACATACCAAAAACACCGCACCTCAAATACAAATACAACAACGCCAACCCCACCAAAAACAAACACATCTAAAATAAAAACCAAAAGAACAGAAACAAAGAATTGGAAGAATGCCCTACCTCCAACCAGACCCAGACCCCGAAATCACCAGCCAACCAAGCAACGCCTTTGAACAACTAGTCCAGGACCTAAGTGCAGCCCTGGGTCCGAGCTCGGGTCTGGACTCCGACGATGTCGACCCGCTCAACATCCAGCGTCTCATGGACCAGTATACCTCCAACCCGGAAGAATGGCAGCCGTTCGCCCTGTCCGATTTCAGCAAGTCCTACACGAGGAATTTGATCGACGAAGGCAACGACAAAAGCAATCTGGTGAGTCTTGGTTTGCAACCTTCCTCGTGCGGCCTTACATAGATCTGTCACATGCAAGTATATATGCATGCATAGACTCCACTCACGTGCTAATACATATCTGATCTGTCAAGCTTATCCTAGTATGGAGTCCTGGGAAAGGAAGCGCTATTCATGATCACGCGAATGCGCATTGTGTTATGAAGGTATTATTTCCTTTATCCTCTCTTTCTTGTTTCTCCGCATATTGTCTTTCCCAAGGGAAGGAGGGAGTGTACGTTAGGCTAATCTAAGTGCATTAGGTCTTGAAAGGGTCTCTGCAGGAGACGCTGTACTCATGGCCCGATCAAAGTAAACTTGAGCATGGACAGATCTCTCCGCCGCAGACCAGGAGGGAAACTACGTACGGCGAGAACCAGGTTACGTATATGTCGGACAAGCTAGGTCTCCATAAGATATCCAACCCCGATCTGGACAACGTTGCTGTGTCCTTGCATCTTTATACGCCGCCTAATGCTGCGACGTACGGCTTCAGTGTTTTCGATGGGAGAACGGGGAAGGCGTTTCATATCAAACAGTCGAATTTCTACTCTATCCGAGGGAAGAAATGTTTGGCTTTGCGGAAGTAGTAGTCTGCAGTAGCATGAGGGTGTCCGCTTATTATTTCTATTCTTATTGTATTATAGCCCTGTGTAATAGTCGGTTGGCATTTTCTTCTTTCCGATGTCTTATGCTTGTACTTCTCAGGGTTCTGGTTGTAGGATACGTGACTTAATGAATAAGGCCTTTATTCAGACATACATAATCATGGCCGGCTGCATAGTCGACTGCTACCAGCCAACATATTCTTGCTTACCCAAAAATGGCATGAAGTGAACAAGTTAATCTTCATGCATGCTGCACAAGAGGACAATGCATATGCGTAACATACTGTACAATGTGAATATACAGTGAAGGTAGTGATGAAAACAGATGAAATATGAGGAGAGGAAACAAAGTGAGACGGAACACGCATCAACTTCTTTCCTTCATTATGAATACCTACGCCTGCGTTCCCTTGCTGCTCTCTGGATCCGCTCCAGAAGTAGATCTGGGTTTTCTAAAACTTCAGAATGATGCCGCTGAAGTTCCTCGAGGCGTATTGACGGGTTCTGTGAAGTACCAGTATAAGTATGCCACTCGAAGGAGATGTAAAAACACATCAACCGTGACACCCACCCATTCTTCCTGATTTGGCACGCCTTCGGCAATGGGTAACTGCCCCGAGGTGGACCCCTCGCCTAGGACATTGGAAGAAGGCGGTGGTCTCCTAATAGGGGCTGGGGTAACGGGAAGACTGGGCCGCTCTTGCTCGCTAGGGAAGTCCGTTAAACGCATACTGGACTCTGCACCAGCGGTTTGCTGGTTTGCAGGGCCGCCCCAACCACCGATAACTTGGACTTTGGCCCTCCTGGGTGGTGCGATGGATTGAATGTATCTCCGTATTTCTGGAACATCATCCCATGCGTTTGACCTGGAGTACCTGTCCCAAGACTCGGATGGTTTTTCGGTGGTCCAAGATGCCGTGTATCCCATGGATGATGTGGGAGTTTCTTCTGGAGAGACTGGGGGGAGTATGGAGCTAGGCAAAGAAACCGATCCCTGATCATCATCTAGGAAAACTCGGGTCGGCTTGGGGGCCTGGTTCTCCCAAGGGAAAATCTGGCTAAGTTTCTCTGGCTCCGGTTTGGTGCTAGGTACTTCATAGTACATATTCTTCGGAGCTTCGGGGTAAAAGGGAGGGGGCTTGAAAAGCTCTTTGTCCTCTGACATATTATATGTCTTTGATTCCAGAGCAATTCCTTCAGGCTTTGTATTGAGAGGTGGCGGTTCCCTAAGTAGAGTAAGCTTCGGAGATTATCCATGCGTTGTTTATCAAACTAACTTACCGAGCTGGGTCCCACTGCATCCTGGGGGGTTCAAATGCCTGGGGCTCAGGGCTTGGGGGACGTTTATGCGAGTGTTGCGGGTGTTCACCCACTTCAGGCAGGGGTCCCTCTGGTTGCTGGTAGACTTCAAAGTGTGCGATGTCTGGAGGCGCTGAAGAAGCGATTGGTATATTGACCTGCGTCGTTGGGGGTTGCTCGACATGGGAGCTAATTGGTGCTCCGTCAAAATGTGGTTGTATGTACGCTGAGACATGCTCTTCTCCACGGACATATTGTGGAACTGCACTTAGAACCGGTACTTGCACAATCTTGTCGTCGTAGTGTTCCTTCTGGATAGGCTGCGCTGCCTCAGCAGGCATCACTGCAGGACCAGGTGCATTTTCCACCTCCTGGAAAGCCTGCACCTGAGGGGGGGCATATGCATTCATCTCGTCACTCCTGGGCAGTGTCTGTGTGACAGGAGGATGCTCGAAGGATACCTCTGTGTGCGTTTCCAACGGGCGCTCATAGGTAATTTCTGATATCAGATTTTGTGGAGTAGAGTAGACGGATTGCACAGGTAGCGGCACTGTTTCGAAATCTTCCCTATGGCTTTGAAAATCACACTGTGGAGTGACAGTCACATCGCTCCACTTATTCCTCGATATCTGGGGAAGTCATCAGCTTCGCCGCAGTTAACAATAAGAACGGGAAAGAGAGGAAGCTTACAGGCGTGACAGGGCGGTAATGTCGGTCGTAAATAGCCCACCATCGTCCCAGCAGCTGGTTGTATGGTGATTCAGCTGGGGACACCTGCCTTGACATATTCCACGGCTTCTGAGATCCGATGAAATGGACTAGATTGATTGTACTCTGGAAATGTTTGTAGGCGGGGATGTACTGGTAGTTTGCGCTGGGCGTGCAATTATACGTGAAACTTAGCCTATGCCAATTTCGAAAGTGCATGTTTAGCAACCCTTGGTCTGCGCCGTCAAAGCTAATGCCCCTCTCAGCAAGTGCTTTCAGTGCAAAGTAATCCTGCAGATTGGGTCGAAGAACCATTACACCACTGTTGAAGATATCTGGCCAACCCACATCGGGAGCTGCCGCGAAGTCTACCTCTAGGGTCAAGAGCTCATCAGGAGCCCTGACGGCCACAACATCACAATCGATGTACACTATACGCTTGAATTGTGTTTGCTTCCAAAGCTCAATCTTAGTAAATGTGGAGATGAGGTCCGGTCGCTCCATAAGCCAGAGATTCGCTGGAGTGTGGTTTGAGGTCAAGTGGACTGGTATGAGCTCGTCGTATACGGACTAAATAACATCAGTCAACATGATTGTAGTGGAGGCCAGATGTGCGAGCAAAGAAACAGAAGGCATACCTGAAGTTCCCTAATTGTGGCCGGTAGTAAGCTATCGGGCGTATAGAGGACAACCAGTCTGGCTTTCGTCCCATTGTCGCGTAAAGAATGGGCCAGTACGACAGCGCCTGAGGTCAATTTTTTGATTAGACGAGCCATTATAGTCGCCGAGGTACCATAGTTTTACCAGGAAGATAGTGATCACTCAACAGAAGCTGCGATTAATGTTAGTTGCGACATTTCTCCGGGCTGGGGAAAGGTACGAACATACCGTGCAATACACGGCACCCTCTTCACTAGCCATCCCGTCGATAATCGAGATTTCTACTTCAAAAGTAGAAAACTGGACGTAAACAAGTGATGCGACAAAAACAGGTTTGGGGTATTAATGTATGACCCCCAAGTGAGGCAGGTGACGTTAGGGGCTCCTAACCCCGCCCACCAAAATACGCCAACGAGAGCGAGCTTGTATGATGATGGATCCGACGAAAGTGGATTTATGCAGGAACGGCATCCCGTCAGGACAGTTTACAATTGTTCCATTGCGACCAATGGGGAAAATATATAAGGCATGAATTTGTAGTCGTAGAGACGTAGATGCTCAAGCTGTATATCGGACTACTGATCCAGGTACCTAAAATTGAAAGAAACCGGACGATGAGGGGGAAAGCGGAGAAGCTCCAAGTAATCGGAGGCTGGAACAAGTGGAAGCTTGGAAACAGAAAGTCCGGTCGAGAACCCGTGCCATGGGCGCTCAGATCCCGTATTTTGATTACTAGTATGCAGGGGTATCATTAAGTATGTCCGTCCGTCAGCAAATTCTTAATCTTCCCATAATAGCCCCCGTTATCGCCCGTCCTTATTTGTTACTGACTCCATGGGCGCCGCCCAGTCATACAAAGAAGCATAATAAACGCAAACATAGAGCAAACATCAAAGCCCGACATCGCAACCACTTATGTAGTATCCCCGTTCCCAGTCAAGGGGCAAGGCGTTCTGTTTTCACTTTCGGACCGTTACGACCGCATCCGGATAAACTCTCTGAATCGCAACGCCGATATCCTCCTGTTCACCTCCAGCGGCCCATGCGACAGCTCTGGTCAATGCAGCGCAGCTCTCACGTTCCAGTGGAGTGAAGTGCCCAGACCGGGGCAGCTCAACCACCTGACTGTTACGGACCAGATAATCCGAAAGCCCATTCACACACATTTGTGGATCCAAGGCGATATCAGCTTTGCCCCAGATAATGGTCGAATGAGCTTTCAGTACACCGGTCGGCCCATCGTCAAACAGTCCGGCCCCGCTACTAGCTCGATGGAGCTCATTTCCTCCCGAGATGCTGTGCAGATCGGCAATCGTTTCGATAGATTTCTGCCAGCGCGAAGTAGCCGCCTTTTCCCGATAATAGCGGGCCATGTGCTGGAAATTGCCAAGGGCACGCCCCTTTACAACCGAAGCAGGGTATCCCTCACCATCAGACGTTTGCGTTCTGCACTCCTCCACGGACGGGCCCAGTGAGCTTGCCATACACTCAGCAGCATCTTCGGGACTGAATGGCGAATTCCCATAAGATCCCTTATGGGCTAACTTCAAGAAAGAATAGTTGCCACCTGTACCAAGGTACACAACGAAGGGCATAGGAAGCTGCATCACAAATATATACCCTGAAAGAAGTAGCTGGCGGGCAACTGGCTTCAGTGACTTGATTGCCTTACAAAGCGTCGAGCGAGACTTAACTGGAGAACGCAGGGCCGTTTTGAACATTTTCAGCGACGAAGAAAGCGATCGACGAATGTTCGAGGCAACCATGCTAGTCTATAGGCCAAGTTAACATCATAGCAGGAGTACCATCCTTCATCAAATATACATACCAATGGCCCATTACTCAAGATAAATCGATCTGCCAATTGAGGAGCTTCGGCGGCAAGGCGCATGGAAAGAACGCAGCCCCAATCATGGCTCACAATCACCGTCCTTCTTTGACGCGTACCGGCATCAGCATCAATCCCGTACTTCGCCCTGATAGCGATGATAAATTCTGCCAGGCTCTCCAGCACGTTCGTTGACGAGTATTTCTCTAGGCTATCGGTACCACCGTACCCGGGTAAGTCAACCGCGACCAAAGTGGCCGCCTCCTGCAGAGCCTTCGATTTAAGAAGGTAGCGCCATACAGCCCAGCTATCAGGAAAACCATGAATGAAGATAATTAGCGGTTTATCAGCTGCAGGGCCCCCGGGGAGGTCGTTAGAAACATAATGGAACTTGAAGCCATTGCGCAGGGTGATATAATGGTGGGAAAGGCCGGACCAAGTTTTCGAGAGATTCCAGAAGCGATCGCGAGCTATTGAGAATGTCCACAGGTTAGTGGGAAAAGGACCAAGTGCGATTGAGCGATACAATTCACCACATACCTAGCTGCAGCTCCAGGTGCTCTTTCTCAGTGGTTCCCCTAAAAAAGTACCCTTTCCGTATAGCTGTGAGTCCGTATAGAATCAAAGTGAAGAACCCGTAAGCAAACACGACAGCATATTTCAGTGTGCCCAAAAACGCTTTCGCCATGTTGCGTATCTTTCGGAGTGCGACCCCCCGTTACACACAACGACAGAAATCAAATGTTCAAGGTCTCAAAGACAGACGGCAAGGAAGAATTTAAAGCAAGCTTCAGCTCTATGCTCAAAAAGCAAATGCTTTGGAAAACTGTGCACTTTTGAAATGGAGATTATGTGTGCATTTTGTAGCTCTGGACAATAAAAGGAAGAGGAGGAGTCGCTTTCCGCCACCCCAGCAGCTCTCTATATATTAGCTTTAGTGGCTGCGGGCGGGAGCTTTAAACGGGTTTGGCTAGTTTGGATGGTTTGGTGCATGTGATTCTGTGGAGTAGCCTTCTTACCTCACTGCTCAGGTCAGTAAAGCTACCAATCACTATCAAACTCAAAGTGCAGCCTTCGTCATAAGAGATTCAGTGAGAAGTGAAGTCATGCTTAGTCTTTACTCAGGGCGACACTGTGCATGTTCAATACCTATCAAATAATAGACTTGCGTTATAGACATTTGAGCATTGTCTTATGACCTCATCCCACCTGCATAAATCGCCTGAAATTTCTACAGTGTGTAACATGCTTTTTCTCGAAAGGATATACCAGAACGGTGACAGCTACTCAAAACTTTGATAAGTCTGTGGACATTTCAGTATCACTGCGCTGCAGAAAAACCCGCACCTTCTGCGTGTGTCAGTTGCCATGACAACGGGGATGATAAGATCTTCTGTCACAGTATAAGATAGCCCATCAGATGCATTGATAGTAGATAAGTATACAAAAACGCCAGATCCCCTCCCATTTAATGCATCCAGCCAGTTCGCAATCATGTTGACATGGGTATTGTACAGGGCATGAAGTAGTCGTAAAGATAAGCAAAGCAAAGGAAGAAGTGAAAATGCACAGCAAGAGAGCCATACATAGGATCGTGAGATTAATGATGAACGAGATCAGTCATACAGATGGCAATCAAAGGGAAAATCCTAGGTCCTCCCTATTATCGTCGACTAGGCGCCCGTATCTATCCAACCAAGGTCAGTGGTCGTCTAATCATGTAGGGAGAAAGCACTCACTCTAGCAAGAGTCTGAAAAACCAGACTTCCAAGTCTTCACGGCGCAAGCTCTTTTGTGCCCAATCCCGACTCTGTTGAGCTAGTCGTGGCGCCGCGGTTCTACCTTCTTCTTCTGAAACGAAGTACCTCGTAGTTTCCACATACTCATCGCCCGTCAAACTCAAGGGAACGTAATGGACCCATGGCTTGAGCCATTCGTCATGCCATTCGCGGAAGATGGCGATTTTGAAAACCAAGCTATGGCTGCGTAGAAAGGCATAATAACGGCCGCTGAAGGCATTCCCATCGATATCGACCAGGTATTTATACGCCCAAGCATCCTGCTGGCCGGCTGGCTCACCGACAACAAAATATTCTTGCTGCGCAGCACAGTCATTCGGGTCGCATTGGCCAATGTATGTAAACTTGACATCGAACTGGTCTCGGTAAGGGTCACTGCTGACTTCGTTTAACTCCCACTGGTCATTGTCATTTTTGGACAACACTTTCGGTGTGCTCTGGGTATTGATGTTGCTGACGAATCTCTGTCGATGCTGACGTCGCCATCCGCCTGCTCGCGCAAACCCACCGGTTGTGGAGCCTCTCCAGTACAGTTTGTCGGCCTTCGCATCCCAACTCTGATCCTTTCCCTCTTCATACGGTACCTTATCAACCCAATACCACGGGCTAGGGTAGAGTATGTCCTGAAAGCTTGAGATCTTGCTCTGAGAGAACACTGGGAACAGGTCACGGACCACGTCAAATGCGTTGGCCCGGTCGAAGAAGCCATATTTGTACCGAAGCGAAGGTGTATTACATATGTCAGAGAAAGCAGTCGTGTTGTAGATGAACCCTAATTCACCATGCGCATAGGCCTCTAGATTATCTGGCTCGCTTTCATTGAGAGAACGCGCAGGGGTATCCGGCGGACAGGAAGCCCGAGAGCTTGTCCAGGTAGGTTGGTGTGCAAATCGGTTAAAGCGCGTGGTGCGCACTTCATCAACCCGGTCGCCCTTGTTCAGGTCGGCGGGCTTATCGGACCATTCGTTCACCAGTGGTTGCCTGTGGAAAGCCTTGGGGATTGCGTGATCTTTGGCAAAGTTAACCAGCCTTTGGAGGTCGTCGCTGGGGACAATCACTCGGGGCTCATCGTGGGTGTTGAAGACTAGATCCATATCCGGCAAGTACCGAATAAAGCTTTTCATCATTTCAACAGTCGCATCTTGCTGCCATTCGTATCCTTCACGGCCCCCTTCCGTGTGCGTAACCTGGCCATCTCTGATCAGAACTCCAATCATAGCGTTGTCATATCCCAAGGCTTCACGGGCTCTTTCTCGTATTGTCTTCGGTTCTAGAGACCAAAATGGTAGGAGAGAATGATAGATAGTATCGTATTCGTCAGTTAACTGAACTCCCTTTGCTTGAGCAAACTGGAACCATTTGTCGAAGTGAGGAGGAGGATGCATGTTATATCGACGGCGATATTCGTTCACCGCATCGGCCAAAGTCTTCGATTGTCGTGACCGCAAGTGGTTAAACTCCTGCTCAGCATCTTGAATGAGACTGGCCACCGGGTGGGCGTTGTTTGGATGAAGTGCTTGGCGACCTTTTGAGGGCTCGATAGGATTTGGCACTGCAACCGGAGAGGGCGGGTGAGAGGACGGCAAAGGGTTCGATTCGAATGGCGTATTGAGGCTGTTGGACGAGCGAGGAACCGTTGTGTCTCTAAGTAGAATAAGGGAGATGCACACAAAGACAACAGTTGCTAACGAGACAACCAGGCGTTGGCGTCGCATTCTGCCACCTGGAGGAGAATCTCTATGCATGGAGGAAAACGAGGAAAAAGCATTGATGCGATTTTTATGAATGAAGGACATGGTCAATGCCTGTATTCATGCGCCAAAGAAGGGAGAACGAAGGGGGCGTTCAAAGGCGCAAGGGCGAGATACCTTTTGTCCTACCTGGAGTCAATAAACAATTGGCTCAAAACAGAGACTCCACACGGTTGGAGGACGCCAAGAGTCGCATGTTTTCTTATACAACCGTCAAAGGTTCTAAATTATAAATGATAAATGACGAATGATGAATTGTACGATCATAACCTTAAAAAACTTTTCAGAACAAAGAATAATCAAGTGGTCAAGTCGACCTCATCAAATGACGACAATTTTGACGACCGATGACCAAATACACGGCCGTCCGTTCCTGGTCGGTTTCCCCCGAAACGATGTTGATCCTAGCGGGGAGGATCTGAGCGAAGATCTGGTCATGTTAGTGGGGCGTGCAGTTATGGCTGCTTACGACTAAACCCTTTCCAGTAAGGTGGTTGATAATCCACCATGATGGATGGATGGAATGAATTGCCCTGTGCTCCCCCTTCGAGATATAACTCAAGCATATGTTATAGAAATTTTTTTTTTCTTTGTCTAGGTATTTAGTTGCCCCCTTCTCCTCTCGAGTACGGATGTCAGGAACAGAAAACCATTCTGTCTCCACTCCCCACTGTAGCATTCCGGTGTTCTTCATCACGGCGTTCTTCATCACGGCGTTATGAAGAAAAGTTTGCTTAGAACTTATATCTAACAAACAAGGGATCTGTAGATCTATGATATCCAAGGGGATTAAATAGCTACACCTCATCCGTGCTTGTATGTGAAGAAAATCACATCAGTTCTACAAAGTACTCTAAAATGAATTTACATGTTTGTGTAGACCAGCATGACTTTCTCCTCGTATGGTCTGCTACGCGACTAGTAGTTTCGGTAAGGTATTTCTGAAGTATTGGACGTTACTCCAGCTGTTTCTTGGCTAAGGCCGAGGCTGAAACTCTATATCAGATCTATCTGGACTTCCTTCGACCCTATAAGGAGAACGGCGGCCTTTATCATGTCGCTGATGTATATTTGCACACTTGTATCATACGAATGATTAACCTAAGTCCCGCGAGGATTTCTGTGCATGCAGCAAACCAGGTTTAATACAGCTTATACAGGAAAGCCATGCGCATTGTGCTTGCTCCAAATTAAGTCGATTATAATTCATGCTTAAACATGATATATCGTATGAAATTTAAAAAGAATAGGGTTTTCATGTTTTACCGACATTACCATCTCTATTGTCAGACAAAATACCCTCTCGAACATACTAGACAATGGCGATTGCCTCCCTCAGACCACGTAGAGTCCAAGCCTTGAAATAAACCTGTTGGTCCTTGGGACGTCTCAATGACTGGATTGTCAATCCTCCCGTGCAGCACCCTCGCTCAACGTACATTTACCAAAAGACAAAGAGTCTATTCATTCTCATATCTTACATAAATAACCAGGCCCACCAAATACCATAGGCACATCATAAGATGAAGCATCTACCCCAGCAGCAAACCACACACCCCATTGAGAGCTGCAGCACCCAAGGCTTCAATCACGAAGGCTTGCGCTTGAGCCACATGGAAATACGCCGCAACACACAACAACACCACTAACGAAACATGCACATAATAAAACATCTCCCTCCTAGCCTTAACAGAGGAGGTCGGCCACATTTGCACCCAGAATGCAGTACGCAGCGGCCGGACAAATAACAGGATCATGACTGCGAAGGTCAGGCCGCCGAACCCCCACTGAACGTCCGGATCTTGGATACGCTTTGCGAGCAAAGATCCGAAATCTGGATGACTGGACTGGGCGAAGAAGTTTAGATACAGTGCGGCATGTCCGGCTAATAATGGGGACATGACAATCCTGCCGAACAGGCGGTGGTATGGAGTCAGTGCTGGTTGCGAAATAGATGTCAAGATAGACATCGTGGATGGTGTGGCTGGGTTTTTGGGGTTGAGGTAGAATGCCGGGGCCATGAGAACCTGAAAAGGTAGCTGGGAAAAAGCTACGTGGCCCAGGGCTTTTGTGAGGTGTAGGTAGTCTGTTCGTGTGATGGTTAACTTTATATTGCTCTTTTTCCATTGCACCGGAATTGATGGGTGCGAATAAATAAATTTGCAAGGGAAGGGGGCGAAAGCATTTCAGATAATATTCAATGGCTAAAAGGAAAGAGGAAACAGCCTACCAGTGCCAGAATTCCATACCGAGAGGCCTAACAGGCACACCAACCAGGTAATACAGATAGTATACTGCTTACGTGTCTCTGTCCAATTTGCAAAAGGGGGCAGATCCCACCATGACTTCTGCCTACGGCGGGTGCGGGAGTCATTCGGGGTATCAGTAGCTCGAAAGTAGTTGTTATATAGCCGTACAAGTATTATGAAAAGTAAGAACGAGCATTGCGCATAATAACCACGAAGGTCTAGAAGTTCGCGGCGTTGCTGTTTCTCCGGAGGAGAGACAGAAACAAACTGCCAAGGCCACTGTACTGACATCAGAGATGTAACTTATAGATTGGAAAAAGAAGCAGAAATGGCAACAAATCCTTCATAAAGAGAAAGAAAGAAAGAAAGAAAGTGGAAGGGTGGTAGTAGAACTTGGTAACTGGTATGCGACCCCCGACTATTTTTTGGTTGCCTTAGTTATGCACTACTTACGAGTGGCCAGCCCCCCGAATCACATGATTCATTAAATACCGCTATGCAGCAATACTCAATGACCGCGATATGCTAGGTGGAGAGGTAAAGGGGTCAGGACTCGCATTATTGGATTTGTGCACGATTATTGAACAATGGACCAAGAAGACTCTACATTTAAAACGCCATCAAGCATTTCGTCCCAGTCAGATGCTCTGACTATTTCTAAGGTAACAAAATTGACAGTCCTCCCAAAAGTAGTGAGTGCCGTTGTATCATTTCCCACTCGCACTGAAAGGCCTTCATACAGCGTGGGAGCATCTATCTAGCTAGGTCAACAGCCTACGGTGAAGTCTGCATGACCTCGTCATTACCGCCCGCAGCAGTTGTTGCGAAGTACCTGACATCCACATCGTCGTCCCCTTGAAGCTTCTCCAAGCTGGGAATAATTCTCTGTTGGATAAGGTCCTGACTACGCGGCGATGGCGTCGCAGTCTTTCCTTCCACGTTTGCCAAAGTGCCCTCCGCTGGCAGGCGTCGCAACGTGTCAATCAACACAGCATAAGACTTGGCAACGTTGAATCGAATATTTGGGATCTCGTCAGTGACCAATCTGTCCAGAATGGGAAGAATTGAGTTCTCAATGATATCTAAAGAGACGACAGGCGCGAGTGTCTGGAGAGGATGTTAGCTGAATTTGCATTACCATGGGGATATATCATATACGCACGGAGATCGCGAAGCAAGTTGTCATTCTGTAGAGGTAGTTCGGGTGCTGTCCCATGGCCATAACCTTCGGGATTATGGAACCCTTAGCCCAGTCAACCCCAAATACCTCCGTGAGCTTTCTCAAATTCTGCGTAGCGGCCTCTCTGATAGAGAAGACGGTGTCTCCAAGCCAGCTCATACAGAGATCGCTGAGTTGCTCGTCAAAGAACTTGACTCCCAATTGGCTGGCGAGAAGAGGGATATATTCAATGATAGCAAGGCGAACACGCCATTGCTTGTCTTCTGCTAGTTGTACGATAGCGGGAAGAAGCGACTGAGACAGCAGCTCAATGCCAATAACTGCGAAATGTTAGATCATACAACTATGTCGTCAGATTCCACACTTACCGTTGTTGACCAACTCCAGCTTCGAGATGATGTGCAAACGGACATCAGGGAACTCGTCTTTGAGCATTTGGAGGAACATAGGGAGAAGGTGAGCGATAGTCCTAGGAAATAGTTGTAAGCTTCACTAGTTGATCATCCCCAAAACAGATGGTTGTACTAACTCTTCCTTTCCAAGGATCGGGGCAAGTCCGCTAATCTGAGTACCCAAAGCCGCACGCACGTGCTGGGATGGGTCCGAAACAAGGTCTTCCACGCTGGTCATTATTTCATTAAGCAGTGTCTCCCGGTCGATCAAGCTGCAGAAGCCTATCTCCAAGTTAGCCCAAGAACCATATCAAGTAAGCCGTGGAACAAATACCTGGAATTTGGCCAGCAATCGCAGTACGGACTTCAGCCTCTGTATCCTTCAAGAGTTTAACAAACGAGGGTACCATATCCCGAGTGATAACTTCTTCGTGAACAGCTTTGGCGATCTAGGAAAAAGGATTAGAATAAATAGATGCAAACTGATCATGCAATGCTTGAAGGGAAATACCTTTTCATATCTGTCGGCAACCATGTATCTGACTCTCCAACTCTTATCCTCAAAGAGGTTCCGTAAGGATGTCAACAAAACACCGTGGCTAGGCTGCTGCTCCTTGGGGATCTCCTCGGCGATCGAGATAAGAATATCCACTGTAAGCAAGCGAACGCTGTCCTGATCATCACTGGCCAGGTATTGGAATAGGGGTATCATTTCTTCGATGACAACTGGGGTCTTCATTTCCTTGACAAACTTCGCCAAGTTGTTGGCAGCCTGTCTTCTCACCATAGGCGTGTCGTCATGTACCAGACCTCCGAAATATTGCCGGAGACTCTGCTGCAATGCTTGGCCAGACTTCTTGTATGGAATGCAATAAAGGCCCGTTGCGGAGACTTTCGAGGTGAACCAGTCGGCTTTTGACAGACGTAGGACCATAGGGATGAAATGTTCTTCAATCTGCTTCTCGGAAAGCTGCTCGCCGATCTTGTTAAGGGATTCAACAGCCTAATGTTCTATAAGCGCAGGATCAACGGATTCATTCTATGTTGTGTCTTACCTTCTCCCTAACCAGAGGTTCCTCGATAGCCGCCAGGTTCTCAAGGGGGGAAAGGAGAACATGTCCATATTCCGGGCCACCAACATAT